CCACCTCCTCCTCCTCCTCCACATCAGTCCTCAGCTGAGCCTCTGCAGCAGCAGCCGCCATCTTGGAGGAGGAGGAGGCAGGAGGAAGGAGGGAGGAGGCCGGTAACAGCCGGTAACAGCCCGGTAGGACCCCGGTAGGACCCCGGTAGGAGCCGGTAGGAGCCGGTAGAACCCCGGTAGGACCGCAGGAGGCCGGCAGGAGGCGGCAGGAGGCGGTGGGAGCCGGCAGCCCAGCGGTGAGTCTCCTCTGGATCTAAAGCCGTGTTTCTGTGCAGGTGTCGCAGCTAACATTAGCTTAGCTTCATGTTCACCTGGTACCGGTCGGTAACGGAGCCGAAGGTTTTCACGGTTTAGCGGATTCACACCGGGTCCACTGACAGTTTGTTCTGACCGTCTGATGTGTGTTTCTGATCCGGGACTAGTTCAGTAATCAGATTACAGCAGGAACTGTAACGCCGTGAGGTGGATGAATGAGGACATTTAACAGGTTTTCTGAGCAGACTGCTGTTCAGAGGCTTCGTGGTTCGTCAGGTTCTGCTGAGTGTTGAACACCTGCAGGACTCACCTGGACTCACCTGCCTCCTGATGGAGCAGCACTTTGGGATTCATTAAAGGTGATTTTAAAAGTGTGACAATAATAATATCATCATTAAATGTGCCTCATAAGCATGAATAAAAGCTGTTTTTGTAGAACTACACGACATCCAATGACTCTGACGGTACCTTTGGGTTACAGGTGGACCTCCAGCTTCGTCCCGTCCTGAGTCCTGCTCATGTTTGTCTGACAGCTGCTTCAATGACCTGGATTTGATGAATGATCTTGAACAAAGTGCAGAAGAATAGAACCTAAGATGTATTTAATATTTAAATAAATAGTCTGTTGAGTTCAGGTTCTGTTCACCTTTGGCCCAGTTCTACTGAATCACCGTGTTGATCTGCACAGGTCCATGATGAGCAGCTGGTTGGTCAGAGCTGATGGTTCTGACTGGACCTGAGTCAGTTTATAGACAGAGATGATCTGACTGTAGAACAGTTCATCACATATAAACTGTCGGCTGCATCTTCACAGACAGCGATGGGTTGATCACCTGTCCACAGGTGAGGGTTCTGATCCAGAGTGTTGTTTCTCTGCAGGTCTGATTCCTCCTTCTCCTGCTGGTGGAAGCTCTGAGAAGATGTTTTATGCCCACTTTGTGCTCAGTAAACGAGGGCCGCTGGCCAAGATCTGGCTGGCTGCTCACTGGGACAAGAAGCTCACCAAGGCTCACGTGTTCGAGTGCAACCTGGAGAGCAGCGTGGAGAGCATCATCTCCCCTAAGGTACCTGTCAGAGCTTACAGGTGAGGTTGTGGTACTTTAGGCTTCAGCGCATCAAGGCTGTGTTCATCCTCGGACTCTTCATCTACCTTCAAACACAACTTTGTCCCATCTAGTGCTGAAATGTCTGAACGGGTTTACACTCTAAATACATTAACAGAAAACAAGTTTTATGATTTTGGTGATCAGCAGTAATTAGTCTGTAATTACTCCCCACCGCCGGTTGTGACCCGCCCACTTCACCCCCGTTGGAGCGCGTCTGAATATCCAGAGACCAGAAACTGCTGTTCGGACCGGCCCTAAAAAATATAGACATGAGCAGAAATGTATACGTCAGCGTGCACTGTACGAGGAAAATACACATCTAAGTGTGCAGCATGATCAGTATTAACAGAGTGGATTGAATGTAGTAATGATGGCAGCTTGTCAGACCTAAATAAGGAACGGTCGGGTTTTTATGTTTTTTATCCAAATATCAGACGTGATCATTTCACTCACAGACGACCTGATCAGGACTTTTTGGCCCGATACGATCTAAGTCATCGCTGCTGGTTTTGAAATGAGCATCTCTAGCATAAGTGATGTAAGTGGATGTAAACCAGGGACCAGACTGAGGTCAGAGCTGATGCTGATCAGTTCAAAGGCTTTGACGGCATCAGAACAGGTTCACCATTCATCATTTCTTTTCTTGTTTTTGATTATTGGCCATTATTAGGTAGACAGAAAGAGAGACAGCAAAGTGGGGGAGAAGAATGGGGGAAGGACCTGCAGCAAAGGGCCATGAGCGGGACTCGAACCCACGACCGCTGCACCGGGGACTGTAGCCCCTGTACACGGGTCGCCCGCTCAGCCAGGCAGCGGCGCCCCAGATTCATCATGTCTTTATGAACCTTCGGTCTTTTCCAGGTGAAAATGGCGTTGCGGACGTCGGGCCACCTGCTGCTGGGGGTGGTGAGGATCTACCACCGGAAAGCCAAGTACCTGCTGGCCGACTGCAACGAGGCCTTCATCAAGATCAAGATGGCCTTCAGACCAGGTCAGCAGGACTCCATCAGGCTGCTCATGAAGCACACGTCATGTGTAGAAGCTGCTTTTGTTTTCAGTCACACAGTAAAGTGTCACTTTTGTTGAGAAATGCTCTGATTAGAGGCTTTGTTGTTAAATGTCATTACAGCCATAAGATGAAAACACCCGACAACAGAACGCGTCCCGACCCGTTTGACGTGTGCTGTAGCACAGTTCTGATGCTTTGCAGTTGTTCATGTGTTAAAACGGAGCTAACAGCAGGTTCACATGATGTTTACGCTCAAAAAATACAAACATTTAATCCGTCACGTTTTGCCTGTATGTGTGTTTCTGTTGTGCATCTGCTCCAGATGTGTTCAAACAGCTAAATGTTCATCAGGACTCTTCTGATCATCTGTGTGTCACATGGTAACTTTATTCTGTAAAACTCTTGTTGTGCGTCGGGTCGTACCAGGTGTGGTGGATCTTCCAGAGGAGAACCGAGAAGCAGCTTATAACGCCATCACACTTCCGGAGGAGTTCCACGATTTCGACCAGCCGCTGCCAGACTTGGAGTGAGTTTCTGTTGATCCACATGTTCCTCAGAGAGCGTGACACTGAAGTAAAGCACCTGTGCAGGCTACAGGAAACCTCTGTTCTTCATTTATTCCTCCCTTGTCGTGCCTTATCCAGGCAGAGGATGGACTAAAAAAGAAAGAAAGGTTTGAGGGATTTGCAGACGTTTTTATGGACTTCAGGGTTTGTGTTTGGCAGATTCGTTGCTAAATTTCACGACAACTTGCAGCATATAAAACAGATTTAACACTCAATAGTTACACTTCTTGTCCAAATACACACATTTCAATAAAATCTGGAAAGTTTCTGCATTTAGCATAGATCAGGACACTGATGTTTGTACACATAAACCCATTTCTATGTTCTGAGAAGGTGAAGGAGATGAATTCAGAAGCGCTGCATCACACATCAACGGCCTCCAAAGTTCTGGTCCTGAGTTCTTTATCTTTTCTGTTTCTTGGAAAGTAGAATATATTTGCAGAAGATGAGTGTAAATACAAACTGCCAGTTGAAGTAAAGTTGACCTGTGGTGTGTTTTGTACAGTGACATCGATGTCGCTCAGCAGTTCAACCTGAACCAGAGCAGAGTGGAAGAAATCACCATGAGAGAGGAGGTGGGAAACCTCAACCTGCTGCAGGACAACGACTTCGGTGAGCGTCAAGCTCTGTCTTAACCTTCATTTAGGATTTTATTTTTGGTTCAGTAATTTCATGCTTAAGAGTTCTGCTTCTAAACACCTGAAAGCTCCCACAGCTCAGTGCTGATAGGAAACAGAACCACAGTGTAACTGGGACCAGTCAGTCTGTGGACTGAAACATCAGCGTAGGATGGATATTGTCTGTTCAGCTTTTGTCGTTACGGACTGATAATGCTGCCGATTGTTGATGATGAAGACGCTTTAAAATAAGCATCTCTCACGTCAGATTGTCAGATGTTGATCAGTTAAGACGTGTTCAGCCTGATGCTGATCCAGAGACCTGAACATCTCCAGTTTATACTCGTCGTTTGGTTTTCAGTTCCTCTCACACTGAACTCTTTAAACTCTGACTGTTGTGCCGGCAGCTGACTTCGGGATGGACGACCGTGAGATGATGCGGGAGGAAAGTGCGTTTGAGGTGGACATCATGGGGGCGTCGGCCTCCAACCTGCTGCTGGAGGCTGAGGGCGGAGCCAATCAGATGACGGACAAGTCCAACCACCTGGAGTACGACGACCAGTACAAGGACGACTTTGGAGACAATCCCATGGAGAGCAGCGAGGGAGGCATGCTGGGTGAGGAGGGGGAGGCGTGATGTAGGTTCTACATTCTGAAGCTGTCGTAAACGCTGAGGACCAAACCGGTCCTTGGAGGACGTCCAGTGGGAGTCTGGATCGTAGACGGTTCTTTCTGGGTCGTTCTGTTCAGACGTTCTCTATCTGCCAAATGACGACCCGTTTCACTGAATGTCTGATTAATGCTGTTTCCCTCCGATCTGATGATCTGTGTTTCTGTAGTGGACAAACTGCTGAGTAACGAGGACGGTGGCGGCATCTTCGATGATCCCCCGGCCATCGCCGAGAGCGTGATGATGCCTCCGGACCACGGAGATGAAGACGACGACTTTGACGCGCTGTCGGGTCAGTTTGTCCTCAGAACCCTCTGCTGAGCCCACTGTGTTGGTGCTGAGCTGCTGTTTAGAGCCGAGTATCAGCTCAGTTGTCACTCTGATATCTTCATATCAGCTGGAGCTCCAGACAGTCCGGACTCGGGCCCAACAGAACCTCTACCGGCCATGACGGACCAGACAGAACAAACTGCTCTGGTTCATAACGAGGAGGAAACCTTCGCTCTGGAGCCCATCGACATCACAGGTAGAAACATTTGATGTATTTTAAACAGTGTCGGTGCTTCACCTTCAGCCCAAACAGTCCTCACAAAGTCAGTGATGAAGAACCGGAGCGTCCTGACAACAGCCCGGCAGGCATCAGGCTGGTCCATTGGTATCCACACAAACTCACGTCAGTCCTTTGTTTCCGTCCGCTGTCATGTAGGCGTCTTAGACATGGATTCATTTCAGTCATAAAGTCAGTGAACAGGACTCGTCTGGATCTCTGCATGTGTCAGGCTGGCCTGAGGCCGCTAGTTGTCACAGGAGACTTTGTCATGGAGCCCCTGTACGACCTAAACTCCCTCTGGTCTCTGCAGCATTAAATAGTAAGAGGCTCCACCTGGTGGAACAACCAGGTACTGCAGCTGCTCTGTGATACTTAAAGTGTTAAATCTGTTGAGGACTCAGGTGTTTGATCTCAGAACCCTAAAATTAATGTCTAAACTTTTTTAAAGGCCGTTTTGCACCAGATGTCTCCTCTCTGATCTGTGTCCGTGTGCTGCAGTGAAGGAGACGAAGGCCAAGCGTAAGAGGAAGCTGATCGTGGACAGTGTGAAGGAGCTGGACAGTAAAACCATCAGAGCTCAGCTCTCTGACTACTCTGACATTGTCACCACGCTGGATCTTGCTCCGCCCACCAAGAAGCTGATGATGTGGAAGGAAACCGGAGGAGTCGAGAAGCTGTTCTCACTTCCAGCTCAGCCTCTGTGGAACTCCAGGCTGCTCAAGGTAGCACAACCTGAGAGATGATAACGCTCACAGTGGCAGGGAGCAGCAGACCATTCTACACGACAGAGCGTTCTTTAGACCGTCCTACAGTCAGATGCTTTTCACTCTGCTTTTTAAATGTTCCCTCCAGATGTTCACCAGATGTCTGACTCCTCTGGTGCCAGATGAGCTGAGGAAGAGGAGAAAAGGTGGAGAAGCCGACAGTCTGGACGAGTTCTTGAAGGATCTGGAGAACCCAGAGGTTCCACGAGAGGAAACTACAGGACACCAGCAGACAGACATCATGGGTAGGAGATGGATTTCTGGCTTTACAACAGAAGCTGCTGGCTTAGTTTTCTAAGTAAATAATCAACAATGCTGCCAATAATTACTGATTAATAGTTCACACAAAACTCTCACAGAAGACATTTGTCCTGATGATGTTTTAGTCACAGTTTCTTCCTCAGTCGGTTCTGTTCCACCAGGTTCTGTGATTCAAGAACTCTGTTCTAGTTGATCCCAGTTTGACTGAAACACATGAGCTCTGATTAGAGGTCATCAACCTCCTCAGAGTCTCTGTCGTTGCCTCT